AGGTTGCTCTTGAGGCTCGTTTCCCTACCCCAGTCAAGGGCTAAGTACTCACTTTTTTCTACTCCTACCTTCTCTCTTGCCCTCTTAGCGCTGCTCTTTCTGTGTTTCTGTCTTTTGTTTCTAAGGCTTTTTAGGTACCTATTCAGGTCGTTCGCACGAGCGCCGCAAAGCGGCACCGTGTGTGTGTGTGTCAAACCCTGTCCCTAAGGGCTTTCCATGTTTTCAAAGCAGGGGCGTACGGCTCGTCATACCCACCGTACACAATGAAGCTACGGTATGACGAGGGAGGGGTGGACTGATCATCCACCTGTACCTGCTTCAACGGTTGAGTACGCTGTTCCAATTGTTTTGATTCCATGGTGGTTCATGATGCGTCCCCCAAACCTTTTTTTCCCGCCGCTTGTGTGTCAGATTGCAAACATTGTTCAACCATACAGTTCTCGCCGACCTTTTCGCCTTGCCGTTCCCTCACCATTTCGACCTGGGAACTGAGCTAACTGAAAACCAATGTCAAAGTGTCTATCTATGTCTGTGTGTGTATGTGTCTCTCTCTGTATGTCTCATTCTGTATGTGTGTCTCCCTGACGCGCATGAACCCCTTTTTTCTGCAAGTTCTTGACCTCTCGTAAGCCACCGACATCTGGGTAGCGCTGCGTCCACGCCTCAAACAACTTTCGCAGAACAAACAAAGTGAGAAGACCGGTGAGTGGACCAGGTTGAGAGGCCAGACAGTAAGCTTGGACCTCGACATATAACGCCAGGTGACGCATTCAGTTCTGAAGCTAGCACAGAGTTTGTTCGATGTCACGCACCAAAATCGGACCTTGACCAAAATGCGAAGAAAGTATTACGTTGCTACCATTCTGCGTGTTTCACACTTGACGACCGATTCGCAAAAACGGGCACGGCGCCACGCAAACGCACTTCCCACCAAGGCCGCGCAAATCCCAATGGCACTGCGACATCACGAACGTACTTTGGCCACACGGTCTGCCCATGCACTAGAAGCAAAAATATCACATGATACCACCAATGATCCCGCTCACCAGCGACACGCCGCGTTTACGCCAGCATGTTTCGCGCTCCCCAGTGGCACGGCGCCGTGCAAACGCACTTCCCACCAAGGCCGGGCAAATCCCCATGGCACTGCGACATCATGAACGTACTTTGGCCACACGGTCTGTCCACAGCACACATATCTTTTGATACCACCAATGATCCCGCTCACCAGCGACACGCCGCGTTTACGCCAGCATGTTTCGCGCTCCCCAGTGGCACGGCGCCACGCAAACACACCTCCCACCAAGGCCGCGCAAATCCCAATGGCACTGCGACGTCACGAACGTACTTTGGCCACACGGTCCGCCACACACTAGAAGCAAAGATATCACATGATACCCCTCATCCCGCACACCAGGGACACGCCGCGTTTACGCCAGCATGTTTCGCGCTCCCCAGTGGCACGGCGCCGCGCAAACGCACTTCCCACCAAGGCCGCGCAAGTCCCCATGGAACTGCGACATCATCAACGTACTTTGGCCACACGGTCTGTCCACACACTGCTACATTTGTACTACATGCAAGCCTCTGAAAGGCTCTTTCCCGTACTACATTTGTACTACAAAGCCACCGCACTCTCGCCTGCATTTCGCGCCCTCGACACGCACGATCTCCCCTGCAGAGGGCTGCGCGCGCATGGGACAAATCGCACTCTCGCCTGCATTTCGCGCACTCAACACGCACGATCTCCGCAGAGGGCTGCGCGCACATGGGACAAGTCGCGCTCTCGCCTGCATTTCGCGCACTCGACACGCACGATCTCCGCAGACGGTTGCGCGGGCATGGGCCAAATCGCACTCTCGCCTGCATTTCGCGCACTCTCGCCTGCATTTCGCGCACTCGACACGCACGATCTCCGCAGAGGGTTGCGCGCACACCGGACAAATCGCACTCTCGCCTGCATTTCGCGCACTCGACACGCACGATCTCCGCAAAGGGGTGCGCGGGCATGGGACAAATCGCACTCTCGCCTGCATTTCGCGCACTCCACACGCACTTGCATGCTTACACTTGGATACTTACACTTGCATACTTGCACTCTGGCATACTTACACTTGCATGCTTACACTTGGATACTTACACTTGCATACTTGCACTTGGATGATTTCACTTGCAAACTTTCACTTGGATGCTTCAGTGCCATTGTAACTTCAGTGCCATTGTAAGCAAAGAAGTGCAAGTGTTCAAGTATGTTCAAGTGTAATATAGAAGTGCAGGTGTTCAAGATATTTTCCGGAAGAACCCTTCGCAATGCTTTCGGGAAAAACACATGTGTTTTGGGTCATTTGGGTCATGCTTCCTCTGCAACTGGCCTCCAATTTGGCCACCGGAACTCCCTCCGTTCTCTTCGGCACATCCGGAGGCGCACCTTCGTCCCGCGGCCGCAGTGCGGGACTCAGCGCAGGACTCAGCGGCGCTGAAATCAGCGGAGGGGACACGGCGCGGTGGTCGTCCGGGTGCAAGCGAAGGGCGGCCAAGGCCCACAGCGCTAAGCCCAAGGCACTGAAGCCTTGGGATGTCCGTGAATGAGGGAATGACCCGTGGAATAAAGGAATGAGATGACCCCGGAATGACTCCCGGAAGCTTCACTACTGATCTTCTTCTGAATGACTGTGGAAAGACCAGATCCATATGGAGACACTGAGTGGAAGCATGAATTGAACATTCCTTACCCGACAGCTGCTCAAATCATAGAGTCGCAAAGGACAGTTAGTAATTACACATTCATGACCCATTTGTTATTGTTTTTCTTGAAGTGCTTGGAGACGTTTGGAACCGCTTGCCGGTTATACAATACGATCCGTAGTGATGCTTGACACCTCTTTGCTGAAAGTCAATTGCTTATATTGATTCTTGGTGCAACTCATTAAGTCAGAACCTGGGACGGCCGCAACTGGCTACGACTTGCAGATCATGTTCGAGGTTGTGATGTCACGTGGTCCCAGTCCATCCAGCGCCCACATCCCAAATAGGCTAGATAGATGGGTTTAGATGGGTCTATAGGGTGTATGATCCAAATGTGAACATCTATAAAGTATAAATGAACATGTATCAACATTTTCCCGGGCATTTCTTCCTCCTTCCCAGCCATGACATCCGTCTTCATCTCCAGATTCTCCAGTCTCCCAGCGGCCAATCACCACCAATGGCAACCTGGAAGGCCTGGCTGGTGAACGGGGCGAACGGGAAGAACAAAAAGAGATGAGACGAGGCCAGAAAGTGGTCGCCCAAGGAAAAAGGAAAAGCATCCGTGTCTGCCTGGGTTCAGAGATGTTCAGTGGTCTAAGCCTGGGTTCAAGTCTTCTTAGCGATCTTGGGTTTCTTTCAGTTTAAGACAGTCGAGACATGCTCCACTGGATCATTGTGGGAATGGGATCGACCCTTGCGAAGACGGCGTTCCAAAAGCAAACCAATAGTCGCTTCCCATTCTCCAAGTGTATTTCTTCCCTACCTGGAATACAGTACCATGCCAATATGTTGCACGTGGGATCCTTCTGCAAGGTGAGTGGACAGCGGACCGAACAGATGATGAGATTGGGGCACCTTCCGATGTGACAAACCAATTCCTTGCAGTGATTTAGTGGCCAGCAGTTGCTGGAGGCAGCTGGAAGCTACCGCCGGTGACGGCATTCTTGCAAATCCACTTTAGTCAGAAGACACCCCGGAATGAATACGCTATATAGGATATACAATATATAAGGCTATAAGGCTACGACAAAAGCAAGCACCAAAGCCAAATGTCTTGCCCACAATCAAATTCAACAAAATTCATAGACGCCTATTTGTATCTTATAGATTCCATTTCATTCATTATCATTCAACCAGTAACAAGGACGCTATTAGGTGGAGACCATCGCAAGTAGCTAAGTAGCTTGGAGGCCATCGCCTACGAGTAACAAGAAGCTATTATCACCCCGCATCCCCCGTGGTGCCAAAGCACTTGGCATCCTTCGCAGCGGCCACGCCGGGAGCCGCAGTGCCCGCAGCGCCCGGCCGATCAGTGGCCCGGGCGCGCATGGGGACATGGCGTTCTTGTTGAATGTCAGTGCTCAAGCCAACGAGAGGGTCCTATAGGCTTGACTACGAGTTGTAGCAACCAGTTCGCGTGAGCCTTTTCTGTATTCGATGTTTCTGACGCGTTTCCAGAACATTTGGTGGACTCCAGGAACGATTTAGGGGTAAATGAAGCGCAAGATTGAGACCTACACCTCAACCACGCACGTGCAGTCAAGAATGGAAAGCTGAGCTACCAAAGCTGGAAGGCTCACGACCTCTGCTTCAGGCCATGGATCATGGAAGACTTTCTTGCCGGACATATGACATATGCTCTGCATTGCAAAAAAATGGTCCCTTTCTTCCCAAAGACGCTCGTGGTGTCTTTTTGAGTGCCAGCTCTTGGTGCTCGTCGCTTGTCGTAAAAGATGATTGATGTTTTTTCGATATATTTTGAGTTGAACAAGAAGCTACTAAGCTACTAGGGGCTCCTGGCCTTACTAGGAGCGTTCGGAGGCTACGTTTGGGGCTTTCTTGGCTCAAAAGATCAACTAAGATCTTTCTTGGCTCTCCTGCCATCTCCTGCCTCTCTGCCATCTCCAACCAATTGCACTTGGCTCTCCGCACATCCCCCCGAGGTCCGGATCGTTCCGTGGCGGAGTCGGACCGAACCCTGGGAATCCACGAAGGAAGTAGTGGTGTTTCCCGAGCGAAGAAACACCCCCCCCCCACCAAGCACATAGTGAAAAAAGGAGGGGTTCTGAGATACACGCACATGCCTCTGAAATCCGTGGAACCCCAAGAAATCCGTGGAGGGTGATCTGATTTTGGGGTAGTTTGGTTGGATTGATGATGGCATTGAGATGCATTTCTTCTCTTGCTTCACTTCTGAACTCAAAGGAAAGGGGTGCTTGGTTGAGATGAACACCCACCAAGGTGGCAACTATGATGCATGACAGGGTATTTACATGGATGGGTGATACTGCTCTTGTTGAACGGATCTGTTATGATCTATTGTCGAAGACTGCAAAACCGAGAATCCCGACAAGAGTTCTAGGTCTTTGCACGCGATCCCCAGTCTACTCGACTCTGTTACTGAGGGATACTGAGGGTATGTATACAGCATACATGGCCATTCCATGGTTTGGCGGCCTACACGATCCGTTCAACAAGAGCAGTTGGGCTAGCTGAGCTCAGTGACTATGACCCTGGTTCTGACTGTTATCTCTTTAACCAATATAAAACAATTGTGCTCAAGATAGTTCCACGTGCTCCCTCACAAATACATCAGTGTCAATGAAATTATCAAACACAGTGGGGGGTAGCAAGATGCTTCTTGTGAACCTGCTGCCAGTCACTGGAAATTGAAAGGAAATTGGACATCATGAAATGCAACAGTTCAATTGGTTGAAGGGACCGCATGCACATTTATGTAATCATGTTTGTGTTCTGTCAACATATGCATCACGACCTTACTTTCCCAGATTATACTTGAACGTGTAGTATTAAACACATAACCGTCTTTCACATAACCCTCTTTCACAACACAAATGAGGTTGAATAATCAACATGAATAAACCTCAGGAATCTCATCAGAGTCCCTGAAGTCATCTCGAGTTCAAGCTTTAGCCCAACAGGTTCCCCAACATTCATGTATCTAACTTTCAAGAGAGGTTGAGAGACAACACATTGGACTCTGCGGGATCAGCCATGACAGCACGAGAGTCGGTTTCTTTTGCTTCAAGTTTCAATGTTCAGGACCAGGAATATCGGACATAAGTGTGCTCTAGCATCAACAAACAAGGGTTCTTCAGAGAAAGCCATTGAACGAACTTAGGGTGTTTCCCCTCATGACATGAGGTGAAAGCCATGTCCCTCTTTCAAACATGCCTTGCACATGAACCCCCGACGATTTCTCCATGATTCTTGTGGTGTCACATCAGAAAGGCCAATGGTGTTGACAAAACCCTTACGCCATGCGACTAGTAGCTCCTGGCATTCCTACGTTCGTAGCAAGGTTCGCTACGTTCGTAACAAAGGGCATCGCCCCACTCACGGAGCAAGAAGCTACTACTGTAGCTGCTTGTTCCTTACGCCTTAGCTACTTCTCCCTGAGACTTCGGTGCCCGAACAGACGACGAGAGGACACGCCTGAGGGGGGTGGCGAGGGCCGCCTGGCGAAGGGACCGACAAAGGGAGGGTTCTATGGGAATGAACCGACACAGGGGGGTGATGTACGGAAGAGAGTGGTCAACTGCAAATTGTGAGACAGTCACTGTCACCTCAGAAAATTGCGTATCGCTATAAGACATGTTAAGGTTTCACCATGTCAAGGTTTAACCGAGACATGTTAAATGTTCATGCACAACTCAAGTCTTAAGTCTTGACCTTGGAACTTTGTCTTTGCATTTGGACTTATATGTGTCTTCCCAATGTCATCAGATCCCAACCACTCCATGTCTGTCATATATGCCGCCCCATTGACCCCTCATGGCCCACCCGCAATATAGGTGTATATACTATATATACCATACATGGAGTGTCTGGGGATTGTTGCATGAAGTCCCTGTGACCATGGGCTCACCAGGGCCCCAAACCTCGTCCTACTTGGAAGAGGTTGGGTTGGTCTTCAAAAGGTGGAGAGTGGTATTGGTCTATGAGCGGGGCACCAAAACCAATGAGATTTGGTCTATGTTGCTTCTTCCAGGGTTCTTTGGGAGGTCTCCCTATTTTAATTTATATACACCCATAGATCTGTACCTTGGCCTCATGGGCCCACAGATTGTCAGCTTTCCTTGCAGCTGTGCCAACACTGTCCATGTGAGTTACCAACAACCGAACGAACCTGAGTGGACCTTGTTTTGGAGAATCAACTGTCCAAGAGATGGCCGTTTCCCATCCGAAAAAACTGGTCAAAAGGGCTCGAGGAATATCTTTCACAAAGAACTTGTTGATGGATGTCCATCACTAACTCCACTCAGAATCCTCAGTCGTCTGGTCTCACGCGCATGTTGTCTGGCCCGTTTTGGATCTGGTTTGCGGTGTGCGGTCCTTTAAACAATGTTTGGTTTCCTTCAGGACTTGATGACATGTTTGGATACCCCCCCTCCTGCCCTTCTGCAAGAAGGCTGTTGTCAAGTGTTGGAAGATTAGTACTACACAGTCGACTCCTTGAAGAATTCTTTAGTTCACACCATTCAACCACAAAAAAACACCATTCAACCACACGTACATCACCAGTGTGAGGACATGTGAGGACTGCTTCGTCACCGGTCCAGCTGTCGCCCCGTTTCATGCACCTCCGCCCGCCGTTGGCGGCCAGGGCCTCAGGTAGGGAGGTGAGACCATTTTCATCGCCTTTCAGTGGTGTTGGTCGCTGAGAAAACCACAGAAAACCAAGTCAAAAAGAACCATGGTTCCATACAGCAACGATGGTCTGGGGAGACTGTAGATAAGGACATGGATCTGTGACGATCTGGCCGACATATGACCGGATTCGCCCACTCCTCCCCAGGCAGCGCCCAAACTCCCCAGGCAGCGCAGCTGGACACTGCTTGCTCCGAGCCACTGGAACCGCGGCGACTTGGAGCGCCTCGGGGACGGCGAAACCGCCAACAGGTCCAACACGTCCAGGTGTCGTCCAGGTCGAGGTCCGATGAGTGAAGATTTACCCAACGTGTGAACAACGGTGATTTGGATGTTTCACGGTTTCGCCGTGTTTCGCACCGCCATCCGAGTGGCAACATTCTTCAGGTCAACCCAACCACTCACGTATCTGTATGGTGTCAGTCAACACAGGCTTGGAATAGGTGTACAAGAGTTCCCGATCTGCGTCTCTTTGAACATACAGCAATTGAATTGTGTCCAACAACAAAAACATATAATACAAAAAACAAAACCTGTGATTTGGTAAATTTGGTGTAAGTTCCTGTAACTTCTGGATAATTCCAAGGCCCACAAAAGAACATGCATAATTTACGTCAGCGACCACGTCAGGCTTCAAACCCTTCCCAGGTCGTTTTTGCAACAAACCTTGGCCTATCGAACTCTTGGGATGTGTCCCGGAGCATGAAGCTTTGCCAAGATGGGGAGATGGTGATTTCTTCAGCAGCCTAGGCCACACCTTTACCAGTTCCACGGAGTTGGGTGCCGAACGAACGGAGGGGGAGCACTGAGTGAGGCCCAACCCATAACCATCCAAAACCACTTCCCAAGGCTAGGTGAGCGGTGTTCAAACTTGCGTTGTCTTTTCTTGCCGAGAAATCAAACCTTACGGTAGGCCTTACGCAAAGCTTACGTTTTTCTATGTTTTGCTTACGGTGACACATGTATGCATGGCTATTCTTACGTTGTGCTTACGGCGAAGGTATGCAAGTCCACTATGGTCACATTTGATATGTTGTTGCAAAACAAGAAAGGATACGGAATCAAAATAGACAAGTTTCGCTTCCGGTGGCCTTACGGCATCAGCAAACCTTACGGACATCTTACAAACATCAGCTAAAATCACTATGTTCTTCGCCGGTCCCTGACTAAAAAAGAAAGAGTGAATTTAGAACGCTGCTCAGGTGACATGATGTCCTGGTACTAGAGCAACGCCCAACCACCATGATTTGTTCCAAATAAGATTCCTTCCCAGATCAACATATCCTCATGTCCAAGTGGCTCTCGCTCTCGTGGCTCGCGATCTCGTGCTTCGCGGTCGGCCTGGCACACTGGGGCGCTGCCCAAACATCCTTGTTGATCTTGTTGGGGTCCTCACTTAGTCCTGCAAACCTCCCAATCGGACCCAACACTTGTCCATGTCATTCCATTTCCATGTGCGCTTAGTGTCAAACAGGCTCAGCGCACTGCAACGTCAACTCCACCTCATGAGGTGGACGATGGTCTGGATCTTCCCACCGACCCCCCAGTCAGGGCCCCCTCATGGCATCGGCCTGTGGTATCGGCGCGAAGGGATTGGCGCACGCCTCGGCCGTTCTGAGGGGCTCTGCGGCCGAGGTGGGCGTGGCCACCGGGCATGCTCGGCGACACCGGGCGCGTGCTCCCATAAGAGGGTTCGAGGACCCCC